CCTGAATTATGCAGTCCATCAAATAATATTGGGCAATCTCATCCTTACAATTGACAACCTGTGGAAACATTTAGCTGCATCTTTAGAGATGGGATAATTGCTACAAACAAATGAGAGAGTCTTATATTCCATATCCAGAAAAGGGTTTATCATGTTGATATTTACCTGCTCCAATACTCTGGGCAGAACCACATCCTTATACATTTCAAGATCAACACCCTCTATCTGACTAAGAACGTGCAAATTCTTCCCAACCTAAAATATGACAGGTACAGCTGAATAACGTATTTCTGAACCAAGCCATAAGGCTCTTGCAAGAAGAATATAAATGATTGAGCCATTGATATTACAAGATCGCGAAGCTCGCTCCTTTCTTTATCCAGCTTCTCTTTCAACCTGACAGGTCCCTGCAGACCATAAAGCGCGAAGAATGCCTCAACTCAGGATCACCAAAGCAAATGAATGTATCACAAGCACTATAACACCTGCATGGCCAAAACATGCCTTCATGACTCATTTTACCTTCCTGGCATGCAAATGCACAGATGCCATGCAAGTGCAAAGTAAAAGCAAAGTAAAAGTTCAGAAGATCCTAACGTACATTATGCTGCATTCTAACCCAAAGCTTATTCATCTCTGTGAAGTTCTGCAGCACAAAATCTACTGCATCCATGACAGTATCACCTTCTCTGCATAAAGAACAGGGTGAAGCATCTCAGAAGATCATCCCTCTAGGTCAAACTAGAAAATGAAAAGAAAATACTTAATTGAACAAAAAGACGGGGATCTACAGATGGAAACAACACATTGGGTCTTCCTGTATACTTAAATAGGTACATCAAAACATATAATAACTAATGTGTGTGCAGCTCTTTGTGTATGTGTTTCAAGCAAGTGAATAAAAATGTACTTATGCAGAACTGACGTGATATAAGTGCAACTTAATCATCACGTAATTCAAGTAGTAATCAATAGCTTTACCCTTCATACTCAGAACCAAGGTCGGGCAATTTATCTCTGCTAATTTGAGCAAGATAACTCCTCAAGAAGAGCCCACGTGTAGGATGCTGAATACCACGACACATTTCAACAAGATCCTTGAGAATGTCCTTAGCAGGAGCCTCTTTTGATTTTATGTATACAGATCCTACTGTACATAGGAGATACCTGAAATATTACATGATAAACATCCATCAGACATCTGATTCTTCAGGAACAGCCGGAGACGACAATAATACACAGGAAACAGTAAAGAAGCAAAATCGAGCAGCTATTACTCGACTCCAAAATCAGAAGTTTTGCTAGAAGTTTACGATCCCCTAGACTGACCATGCAGAGTGCTTTCGAGAAGATTAATACCTATCTTTTTTATTCTCCGGTTTTGGTACTTTTTTTTATTAAGGTTTCTCTCGAGTGCATACTTTTCTGTCATCTATGCATGCAATAGACTCAGTTTTCGCTACTTGCATGAAGGACACTCTTTCATGGGAACTAAAGGTACTTAAGAATGTTGCCTCACAACTTCTCTTGGGAAAAATCTCTGGCTTCTCTGGTAAGCATTTCTCCTTTTTCTTTGTTTTTGATAGGTGAGTATAAAATATTTTTATCTTTAAAAAAAAATCTATCCGAGCCTATCTCTTTTTTGTTAAAGTTGACCATACTGAGTAAATGCACACAGAGAGGCGGACGTGAACCCAACAACTTTTTCCCAGACCCTACGTAATTAAGTATTAAGAAATCCACTAAATATCTATAAATATTTGATTGCAAATACAGTTATTAATGATTATTAACTTGAGGTCATTGAAGGAACCCATAAGCTTCCAATTCTGGATCCATCTCTGTGCACACAATATTCCTACTAAACTCGGTGAGCAGAGACAGTGCTTATGTTATAAGAGGTATCCATTGGTTTCACATCCTATCCGGCACTACCCTCATGCATAGTCGAAGGCCATCAACTCTATGAGAAACTGAACATTCTCAATAACACTAAGTACACCAACAAAGAGAAAAACACATGAAAGAAGAAGAAATTTGAAGTTATCCCATGAAATTTCAAGTGGAGAATAAAAATCATACCAAATTTACTTCTGAACTACGTTCACTAATTTGCTTGATTCTAAGATACTAGTAATTACTAAACAATATAAGTAGCCAATTAGCACACACGAAGCCTAACAACTGAGAATTTTAACACATGAACTTCATTTGAGACTTACAATCGAGGCAATATATTTCCAGCATGTTGAACAAGTTCATATAAGTCAATAACTGAACAACCATGTCTATCTTCTTCTCTGAAGAACATCTCCAGCTTCCTCAATTCATCAAATGCTCGCATATCTACCACAAAGAGCACAAAAACCTGAGAACAAATGATGACATAACAAACAAAGACACTTCCTCTGTTCCAAGATGTTTGGCACATCTTGCTTTCCGACATTTAAACTACGTAAAGTCGTAAACTAACCAACATTTTAGTTTTCTCACCATCTTGATACGGGGAGAAATGCAACTTAAAGCAACTTTTCTTATAGTACCAAAATATCAAAGTTTTTATTTATTTTCAACAGAAATGAACTAATCCAGTCCAATCTACCTCCGTAAGTTAGTCAAACTAACTTTCATAAGTGAAAAATGCAACTTATCGTACTTCTCGAGTAGTTTCCGGATATTTAAATTAAAATAATTTTTTTTTAAAATGAATAAACTTAGACCAATTTGGCTTCAAAAATCTAAAATTTAATTTTTAAAAACTGAATTACTATAGTCCTATTTAGCTAGAAAGTTAGTAAATTTAACTCTCAATAAGCAAAACTCCAAACAAATTAGCATGAAAGAGTACAAATCAATAAAATCAGCAACAAAAAAAAAAAGAATTAATATGATCTGATTTAGCTCGAAAGTTGATCAAATTAACTTTCATAAAAGTGCAACTTATCGTACTTCTCTAGTAGTTAGTCCTATTTAGCTAGAAAGTTAGTAAATTTGACTCTCCATAAGCAAAGCTGCCAAACAAATTACAATGAAAGAGTACAAATCAACAAAATCAATAAAAAATGAATTAATATGATCTGATTTAGCTCAAAAGTTAGTCAAATTGATTTTTCACAAGCAAAAACTTTCTAACAAACTGGAATTAGAAAAGGTTAAGCAAAGAACATATGTAGACTAGAAAATTTACAAAGCTCGTAGTATTTGTGCGGCGAAAGTTTTGAAGTCCGAAGCTCAGACAGCAACAAAGCAGAATACTTCAACGCTTCTCTGAGATTATCCGAATCCTGAAAAATTAAATCAAAAGCGTTAATTATCAAAATAAATTGAAAAGTTTAGGGTTTTTGGATTCAAATTCAATGAAATTTGATTTTGAACAAGAAAAAAATTGTTACCAATGCACGAGACATGTAAAATGCGTTGTGTTGAATAGCTGCGATTCCTTCTGCTAGCCATTTCTCTTCATCTTCCATGCCTTCTGTTGCTAACATTTTTTTTGCTTTTTCTGTTCTTCGTCTTCTTCTTCTTTGTTGTTGTTCGTGTTCAGTTTGGGTGACAAACGCGATTTTGATTACCTGACAACTCAGCGACCCGGGTGGGTTTTACCCAAAACCCGTATCACTCCGAAAAAAAATATTTTTCAAATTAGTGAGTTTTATATTCAATTATTAGTTTAGTCTATTTAGGAGAAATTAGATTATTTTTTTCGTTTGATGAAGAGAATTTCATTCGAAATAGGTTAAAAAATGAATGGTTTTTTCAAAGTTTAAAAATGAATTAATTATTATTCTTTTTAGATTTTAAATCTTTTCAGAATTATCCTTCCTTTTTATGAGTACTTCAACTACTATTTAGATCCTTAAATATAGGAGCGAAAATATCCTGTAACTCGAAGGATATACGACTTCTTGGTCAAGCCAGAAAGATAAGTTCTTTAGGTTAAAATGTTGTGCGATTCGGAGGACATAAGATTTCTTGGTCAAGCGAAAAAGATTGCCGACGGAATGCTCCTACCCCACTATGTCTGACCCTTTATATTACTTAGATTGCCGACTGGATTATCCCACCCCATCATGTCCGGCCCTTTATCTTACCTTAAGAAGAAAGAGGCTAATACAATTCTTTTACGATTTTTTAACTGATACAGTAAATCAGATGTACCATAGCGATTGGTTAAGGTCGGACACTAAAACACCATAATAATTACATATTAAAAAAAACGAGATACTTTATTTGCCTATTCATAGAGTTAGTCACCTTAGATATTACTAGTATTAAATTAAATATATAGAAAGTGAAGTTTTCAATTTTGCAGTGAATATGTTATATATCGAGGTTTTATTACTATATATACAACTTTTAATTACAAAAAAAATTGCTACATCTTTTCCCTTAAAGTGTATAGTATCATTGACCATATAAATAATTGAAAGATAAGCATATCCAGTTTGGCCTTTCACAACAATTTTGTGTTGTGTTTTTCTTTTATAAATTTAGGAACGTCGGGGTCAATTTTTATGCACTTCGATAACTATGTTCATTAAGGCTAAGACAGATGGAAAGAATTACCTACTATTTTTTGTCGCAGCTGAGTTTTGAACCTGAAATACTAATAATTCAAAATACTAATGACGGTTAAAGATCATTAATTCAGAATACTAATGATTGTGTCCGCCTTAAATCCATTTTTAAGACTATTAATTATTGAAGTAAATTGGTAAACTCACTGTACCAATCAATTAGGTATTCCACCTATAAGCTTTCCAGAGAAGGAGCTAAAAGTTCCCTGGTTAATTTACTACAAGCAACTCAAAAAGGTACTGTGAAAGGGAATGCATATAGTTCAGCATCATCTAGGTATTGCGCACGCGGCAACAACGCAGAGGTTCCACAAGACATGTCGTTGCTAACTTCGCCTTTTTCCTTCACTATCATCTGCTCATGCTTTCTCCGGAACAGCCAATCTTGATCATCAAACTCATAACGGGAACTTGGTGGAACACAGTTAATAATCAAATTCTTGAACTCTAGTTCTAAATCGTTCCCGTGCAATTTGGAGCAAGAAACAGTTGTTGTCTTGTCCTCTGACATGAAAGGGGACAATTGCTGCTTGGTTTTCGACAAGGGAGAGGCTCTTTCTACCTCGTAGTTAGCAGATTCTTTGAAACAGTCTTCTTTGATAGATATATCACATTGTCCATGATTATGTGAGGACAATCGAATGCGGACATTAGGACCTATTTGTCAAGCAAAGAAATGTAAAGGCTAGCTCCAACAAACACACTCGAAAAATCGAACATTAGTATGTTGAAAACAGAATATAACTCACCATGGTCATGTATTCCATTTGAAGATGAGGTAGATCTCTTTCTTTTGTTGTTATTTTGGGTGCTGTCAGATGAGTAGTTTGGATCTTGTGAGTAGACAGGCTTGCCGTGTTCCTCGGATAGACTACTGTTCTCCAACCGCTCAACAATTTCATCCTCAATATCTTTCTGCAAGTACTTTGTTTTCGACTCTCTATTATCTCCTCTAGAAATCAAATCACCAGTTCGAAAACAACTTGAAGTTGATACTTGCTTCGCCTTTTTTTTCCTTCTTTCTGAATCTCTCTTTCTTCTTCCTTCTCTTTTCTTTCTTCCTTTCCAATTTGACTCTTTCCTCGTACCTCTGGAGCTTTAGAGCACCAGAACAACAAATTCATATTAGAGGGACAACACATGACCTGTATAGCATGAACAATTACGTTCCTCAAATATATGCGAAGAATTAGTCACTACTTCCTATTAGAGGGGTTCAGCTTAACATCCAACATGTTAAGTTCTCAAGTTCACAACAACATGCACCTAAATGATTAAATCATGCTCAAGTCAACTAATTTTTAATGGCCCCTAACACTACACGAAGAAGTAGACATAATTAGTTCTAGTACAAAGTGTCATGTGAAAAACGCTCCCACACCCAACCCACGCACAAGTTAAAGAAAAGCATTTACTTGTTAAGCAAGTAAAAATGGATAATAGCATCTTCGTGGACACCTTAAACGACCAACCACGGTTCAACGAGTTATTGCTGCTTGCAAAAGGGTAATAACTTAACAAATATTCTCAAGGTGGAAAAAGGATACTACAAGATTACTGATCTGACAAATGATTCGGGTGGGAATTCTCTGAAGAACAAAGAATCAGAATAGTAACTAATTCATGTTCATGTTAACAGAAAACTGGACTTGAAAATCTAGCCCTTTTCAGTACTGTTCTTTAAATATAGTATTACTCTCTCCACATCAATTTGTTTATTTGGTTTTGAATTGGCAGTGAGTTTAAGAAAGTAAAGAAAACTTTTGATCGTTGTGGTGTTAATGAAGAAAATTTGATCATTGATAACACAAAATATTGACTTAGGTGGTGATATCAAGAATTTCAAACCTCGATGACCACCCAAAATTTGTGTCGACCAAAAACACCCCCCCCCCCCCCCTCTCTCTCTCTCTCAGCTAGGATACTCGATTCCCCAAACAACAATTCATTCATTCACCAAATCAAATCAACTATGCTCAATCCCAAATAGTTATGATCTGCTAATATCAATCTCGAAATTCATTCCACTCTTCATGGATCAATTTAATTACAATCCTATTCATTGATTTTTTAGCAAAGTATCTTCCAAATGTTAAATGTCGTAAGTACATTACAGTTGAACACTACCTACTAGTCCAAACCTCATAAAAATTAGGCTCAAATTAACACTAATCATAAATCCTAACCAACTAACCACTTAAAAATTCCAAAATTCTACATAAATCGTCCTTTAATACTACATATTAACAAATCATCAGCAGAAAAATCACATACTGCAACATTAGCCAAGGTAAAATCCACTTCCTGTGATTTAATGCTAGGTATCAACTACACAACTTATGCATTCAACACATCTTACCAAGTTCTCAGCTTTAAAAACTCTTTACACCTATGTTGCTCCGACTCTTCAAAAATATCCATATCATTTTTGGAGAGTCTGAACACTGTAAAAACAGTCCATAATTTAACTAAAGCTCACTCCAATCCTAAATTCTGACCGAAGTTAGATATACCTACGCACAATCATCTAAACCAAATACTTCCAAATTCTGCTTTAACAACTCTTTCCACCTATGTTGCTCACACTCTTCACTTGTCATTTTTGGAGAGTCTGAACAACGTAAAAAACAGTCCAATAGTTAACTAGCTCACTCCAATCCTAAAATTTTAACCCAAATCAGATATACCTAAGCACAATCATCCACACCAAATAGTTCCAAATCTCAGCTTTAACAACTCTTTCCACCTATGTTGCTCGGACTCTCCAAAAATAATCTACGGTGGCGTATCATTTTTAGAGTCTGCACAACGTAAAAACAGTTCAAAATTCAACTAAAGCTCACTCCAATCCTAAATTCTAACCAAAGCTACGCACAATCATCCTAACCAGATAATTCCAAATTCTCAACAGGAAAATCATACCCGTCCGACCAACACAGAAAAAATCTACAAAATCCTCCATTTCAAAGATCTTCAATTGAAATATCAAACATAGGTTAAATCCGGTCTATGCACGAATCAGATAAACTAGATTTCATTCTCAGTTTTCAAATTTGACTAACAACACGAAGGTATCAGCCGATACATAGAGCAATATACACGCAAAAATCTACCTTAATCGATTCGATCAAGGCATAATTGCTTGCTGTATTCGGAGAATAACCAGGCGGTGGATACTGGAAGCACCGAGACATCTTCAAAATCGAAAAATCATCGAAAATTATTTCTAGGGTTTCTATAATTCAACAGAAAAATGTCTTATAAGCTAAAAGAGGAACAGAATTATCGGTAATTCAGTAAGGCGTGAGGGTATATATAGGCAGAGGAGCTTCGATTGAGTGGACTAGAACAGAATTTTATTTTGGTTAATCAGTGCGCGATTTGAATTTAATTTGAATTTTAATATGGACTCCGAATTAGTAAAAAAAAAAAAAAATTTGGGAAAATACATGAATCAGCACCTCTAAACTTGTCTAAAAGTCGACTAGTACATATTTAACTTTGCAAATTATTTACCCCACAAATAACATTTTGAAAGTTTTGCTCCAACTTATGTTAGAAAGTGGTGAGATCGTAACTTGCTACTGAAAAATAATGTTATGTTATCGCGATTCTTATTTTTAATAAATTTATTCTCATTTAAATTGCATAGCAAGATTTGACTCAAGTTGCATACAACACATGCTGACGAGTTATGCCATGGTTTCCATTGTGGCATCCGACATCTTCTTCTTCACCTTCTTAGCATGGTTTTGTATCAATCATGGCATCTGTATATCCGACTTGAAAGGAGAGACTTTATGATTTGAAGGAGACCAATGTGTCAGTTAATAGAGTCGGTAAATAAAGATTTAACAGTCAAATGTGCCTTGAAGTGTTTGTAGACAAACATTTGGTCTAGTTAGCATCTATGTGTGCTTCGCTAACAATTGAGTGATAGTTAGATAGGAAACTGATACTCAAATAACTCAAGTATGAAACTAAAAAATGGGTGATAATTTAGGTATGTTTTTAATCCTTTTAACTTTTTTTTTATTTTCCGATATAAGGCTCTCTTGATTTCTATTGGGACTTGCTCAAAGGGGGGCTATTTTTGTCCATTAAGTAATTATTAAGATACATATTGTCTGTATATTAAATAGTTTCTGAATAGTGCTGAAACTTAAATAATGGTATTAAAATTGGCTATTCTTGCACTTTGTCCGTAATTTTAAAGACAAAGCTCAAGTTCAATATTGTCTTCTGAGCCCAATTTGAATTTGGGCTGAAACAAATAAACATGCAATCCCTCCAAGCCCAAGCCCATAACTGTGACTCTTGACCCAACAATGAACATTTCAATCTAAGTTCTTGCATTGATTTGCCCTATTTCGGAATGATCTTTAATTTTCGCCTTTGTTGCTCATTTAATAAAAAATTATCGGTCTGAGTATCCTTAACTATGACCTAATTTAGCAATTTGTTTGATATAAATTATGTAGTATGTAATTCACAAGACTAAACTTAGAGAAAATTCACAACTTGTCCGACATAAGTTCTACAGAGAACTTAAGACAATTTTATGGGTTTTGAAACTATACTTATGCCTCTCTCGACATAATTTTTGTCGGAACTAAGTTATACAACGTGTGAATTATAAACTGCTAAATTTCTCGGACTCTTCAGTTCAGGTGTTGCACTCGTGTCGAAACGATATGAGTGTGGGATCCATATCAGATATATGGTCAACTGACTTTGGGTACTTAGACCAAAATTGACAAAGAAATCGAGACAAATACAATGACTTCTATAATCTAAACAAAAGCTAAGGTGATATTGAAGAAAATGGAATACCTTGTATATAGAAATTCAGTCTTTTTTCTTACATCTCGTTATGAGATTCTCCTTTTGTTCAATATTTTCTCCTCGATATCCCTAGTTTTCTATATAATGTCTTATAATTTAGATATATTATTATTATTTTAGATGTTTGATGAATTATTTTTAGATGAATCCTCACACTCATATCCGTACTTCAATTCATACCCCTAAACCTTAAAATTTAGACCATAAAAAATTCGACCTCTAGATCCACGACTGTATTAGACACTCACGCCCCAATCTGAGCAACTTAGATGAACTAATGTATATATACTTTGCTTTTAGTCTTTTGTGGATGATCCGATTTATGGTAACCATATGTAACAAATAGTATTTTTTATATATGTACGTACCATGTTGGGTTGGATTATTCCAAATTAGTTCAATTTTTCCAAGAAAACCAACCAAATGTCACACATTAATGGTGTGAATTAAACTCAAGGGTCTAAAAACAAACTCGTCTGATAATACCTTACAAGTTGTTCACCAAACCACTTCCATTTCAAGTTTTACATTTATGTATTAGGGTTTTAAGTCGTATCGGAATCAAAATTTTGCACTAAGTAAATTCAAAATATATATAAAAAAGAAGTAAATTACACGCGAAAAAAAGTTAAGTTTAAGCTAAGGTGATTCAATATCTATTACTCCTATATATTAAAAAATAATTATGACATTATATATACAATATAATTTTTTACGACAAAAATTCAGATGAATCTCTTATGCCCCTCGTTTCGATCCTGATTTTAAGATGAATCATAAGCTTGAATTTATTTATTTTTTAAGTGAAAAGATAAAATGGAGTATGATATGGTAGTCCACCAACCTGGAGCAATGTGCTGGTTCATTTGAAGCACAAGTCAAGACCAACCAACCTTACCAATTTCATGTACATTTTCCATGTTTACTCTGTAGTCTCTAGATTATAAGTAACTCATCTCTTTAAATATTCTATCTGTTCCTTTTTCCGGATTTAATTTATAATATATCGAGTAAATTTTAGACGCATTTGAAAGTCATAATTTAAAAAATAACGTAAACTAAAACGTATTTTAGAAGGGGTTTAGCACCTGAAAATTATAATTCATAGGACTAAAACATAAATTAAACATAGTTTAAATATAAAATTAATAAAAGCGCGATAATTTATGAGTTTTGAACTATTATCTCTAAATAATATAAGACGAAATTTGTATTTAGAGTAAACGTTTCTTAACTTGTAGTCACTAGGAAAAATTCATAAAATGTCCACCTACGACGCCATAGCCAATGACACAACTTACTCTTTTTGTTCGTAAATAAAAGTGTGTTCTCCGTATAATTTAAACTTTTAAATGAGATGGATCATACAACTCAACATGATATATCAAGGTAAATGCGACTTCAAATATCGTCACCCGTGATATATATAAATATGAATTGATTAATCATAATTTAGAAGTCTATATACAAACACATGTCATGTATCTATTGGTCTGATGTTAACATCTCACGCATGTAACAAGCCCAAAGAGTCGATTAGCTTATATATATAGTCATAGGAACTGATAAACTTAAAATTCTAAATTCACACGTACAATAATCAACTCAATTATTATTAATGTACTATTCTTTTTTAGATCTATAAATAACATAAGCCCCCCTTACTAAGTACTCAAGTCAAGTCTACCATTTGAAAGCTCAATTTGGACTTATAATACCAAATTTTCTCTTCTTCTTTCTTTGAACACAAAGTGAAAAAAAAATGGTGTATTCTTGTTCATCATTGCTATTTTCTTTACATTATGTGATGTTTTTGTATCTACTATGCGAAGGAAAGACGCAACTGCTATCCAAAAACTCGACTATAAAAGCCGTTTTTACTTTCGGAGATTCCATCGTTGATCAAGGAAATAATAACAATATTACAACCATAGTCAAGTGTAATTTCTCACCTTATGGGAAAGATTTTGTTGATGGAAAGGCAACAGGAAGATTTACCAATGCCAAAACGCCCGCTGACTTGATAGGTACGTTTTTTCATGTCTACTTCAATTGTTGAGTTGATTTTATCGTCATTCAACTTTTACTTTATTGCATTAAAGTTACTGGAACTATTACGTCTTATAACATTATCACTCAAATTTGTTGAAGTATGAAGATTCGAAAATCACTAAACTATTTTTTTTTATTGAACTTTGCCTAAAAATCATAACAAGTTATTAATTTATTTATTTTTTGGTAACAAAAGGTTATTGCAGCATTAACTTTACCTAATTAGTAAGATTTTTTTTTGATAAAAAAACAAAAAGATAAAAAATCGGGGAAGGAATTATAAAGTGGGAAATCAAAGGCTCATTACTAAAGTAAAAGTTTAGGTAGTCAACTAACTGAGATTCAAATATCTCTTACTCTGAAACAATGATTTTATGTGAAATTCAAGAGAAAATGGATGACTTTTTCGTTACATAAAATAGTTTAGTTGGTAATTTCGTTCTACCTAAATAAAATTAACTTTTTCATTAAAAAGAAATTAGCAACAAAAATGGAAGTTGAGTATCCATAAAATACTTTCTTTATCATATTTTAGTTGGGATTATATTTTTGACTTGATTCTAATATTAATATTTATTTATATTAGTGGAAGAATTGGGAATTAAAGAGTTGATGCCAGCTTATCGTGACCCCAATTTGCAAGTCGAAGATCTTAAAACTGGAGTAAGCTTTGCCTCAGGAGCTAGTGGATATGACCCTCAAACATCTTCTATTGTGGTAAGTATTAATTCTTTTTTATATTTACGTTTTATTCATATTTACCATCCAAAAAATATTCACACTATAGAATCATTTAAAATCTAACAAATTTAAGTGGTCTATACTTAAGAAAATGACAAAATAATCCCTTATGTTTAATGATAGGTTCAAAATAGTCCCTTAAGTATCACCAAAACAGTTTTCATCCTTTTAAGTTTATAAAAAATGATTACTTTTTGTCTCTGATATTTACCAAACGACCAAAATTGATATTTTTTTCCAAAACTAGAAACATCAAGTTTTTTTAAAAAAAATATCCAAAAACCACAACATAAAAAACTACATCAAACACAAAAAAAAAAAAAAAAACAACAACAACAACAAATATTGCACTAGACTCTTGAAAGAGATTAAAGATATCATCTATTTTCACAATTCTGATTAAATTCAATAATTAAAATTTGATAAATATTTAACGAATACAACAAAAGTTCATCTTTGATAAATTTAAAGGACCAAAACTGCTTAAATAATATTTAAGACACCATTTCAAACCTACCACCAAAATTTAAAAATTCATTTTCTCATCTATACTTAGTATATAATAATTTAGTTGCTTACCTTTTCAACATATGTCCAACATGTAAATTACTTTTATACCATCATATAAACTCATCATAGTATTCAATCTAGTAAAGTTTAAATTTCATCATTTTTCTAATTATATTTTTTTATGATGAATTTTTTTCAGTCAGTAATACCACTATCTACACAATTAAATTATTTTGAAGAATATATTGGAAAGCTAAAGGGATTAGTTGGAGAAAAAGAAGCCAACAAGATAGTAAACAACAGCCTATACTTAGTGGTAGCAGGCAGCAATGACCTTGCCAACACTTATTACACAATTGGATTAAGACAAAAACAGTATGATATTGACTCATATACTGATCTTATGGTGGACAAAGCTGAAGATTTTATCCAAGTATGTATATGAATATATAATTAATATTTTACTTTATTGCAATTTATGATACGTATTTTTTAACAGGCTCTGGATCAACTGTTAAAATATAGTGTACACTTTAGTGTGTACCTTTGAGCTATCTCAAGGCTTTTGGGCTCTATAGTTTTGTCCTCTTGGGCTTTAACTAAAAAAATGTCTCCATGAGGCATAACTTTTCATCGATTTGCACGTTTTGTACTATAAGAAAAAGGTGAATTATATGGGGATTTTTCTGGGGATTAGTATGAAAATTTGCAGGAAAATAAGTTTCATGTGAATTTTCATACTAATCCCTAGGAAAATCCCCATGTAATTTACATTTTTCCTGTAGTGCGTACTTTAGATTGATTGGTTCTTAATTTTTACCCTTCAAATGAACGGGCACAGACATGGAATGGGGGAAAAAGTGTAAATAACCCATAACTTTCCCCTCTCATTGTCAAAATCGTAGATCCAAATGAATGAGATAAGAATCCTATGTCCTACCCACCCAGTGTTGTTCTGGTTGAATTTCAAAGTAGAGAAATTCCTTGTCGCATAAGGCGTGACCTATACGAATGGTGTAACAACTGTCTTTGTGACATGAACTAAGTGAAATTAAATTCTCCAAGAAGAATGTGTCCTAAGACAAGTTTTGTAGTAAACCCCCTTTCAAGTTCACCCCCTTATGAACTCCGCGTCTTCCTTGAGGTTTACCCCACCACCATAGTAGGAGAAGTATGACTCTGATATCACTTGTAACAACCCAAGTGCATGCATCACTAAGGTATTGTCCATTTTGGCCCGACTCCTTTGGGCCACCTTAAATCTTTTGGTCCTCACGGTTTTGATCTCTTGAACTTTAATACGCTTGACATTTGAATCTTCAACTCGCCCTTAATCCACTAATTCACATCAATAATTTGCAACTTGAGTCATAAGCACATATTTTTTTTTAAAATTTTTTTTATACCACTAGACAGATTGCATGCCATCAACACATCAATTTGCTATAGTCAATTTTATTTATTCATCTTTTTTTTTTTAATTTGGAAGGACTTGTACAAGTTGGGAGCAAGGAAAATAGGTGTTTTTGGGATTCCACCAGTTGGATGTTTGCCATGCCAAAGAACACTAAGTGGAGGTTTAGGTAGACTATGTGTGGAAGAACACAATCAAGCTGCACAACTGGCCAACACTAAGATTTCACTTGCCCTTAATGGTTCACTATCCAAGAAGTTGCCTCAATCCAAGCTGGTTTTCATTGACATCTATGATCCTATGCTTGATCTCATTCTCAACCCTCAAAAATATGGTAAACTTTAATATTTTTCAAATTCATACTTTTAAATTTTGAATCTAGTAACGTTCAAATCTTGGATCTACCTCTGACTGTAGAATGTGGATGTACTTTAGTATATAAAAGAGAAAACCTTACTTGTCTTCTAATTTATGTGTTAAAAGAAAAATGTTACTCATATATTGTATCAAAGGTGCAAAATGTGTTTCATTTTGTTTATATAATTTTCGGGTACGTTTGTATTATCAGGATTTGAAGTGGTAGATAAAGGATGCTGTGGTACAGGAAACATAGAGGTAGTCATATTATGCAACAGATACATGAGTAGTACATGTGAAGACGACACGAAATATTTGTTCTGGGATAGTTATCATCCCACTGAAAGAGGCTACAGAATCCTTGTTGATCAAATGATCAAAAAGTATATCAATAGGTTCATGTGAAACATGAATATCAAGATTCAGGATATTTCATCCTCCAAATGTTGAAACAAAACGCGCAAAAACAAGTTTGCGCCTTTTCATCCATCCTTCATGATCACTATCCTAATATCTGTTTTTTTTCTTAATGTTCCTTTATACAGAATGTGTTTGTGTCCTACTCTGTATATCTTATCTTTTTTTTTTCATTTAGATACCTTAAAGGATTTTGTATTAGTGTGATTGAATAAAGTCATAGTGTAAAGACTCTTTGTTATACTTGTACAACATTCTCAAATATCGCATCAGTAGCTAACGAGAAGCCAATGTGTACTAGTTGACATGTTAGTCCAACTTCAATGTTCTATTTCTGTTATAATTCCAACTAAAGGTAAGTTGTTTGGTATCGACTTTTTGTCACTATGCTTTTTCAGGGAGGCTTCGTCGATGACTTTTGTTCACATTTTGTGTGTTATTGGTGTGCAACTAGTCCAAGAACAGAACGGAGGTGAAGTCTGGAGATGACGAGATTATCTGGTGTCATTTCTTTACCTATTAGTGTTTCTTACTGTGAACTAAGAAGAGTTATATTATATGGAAAAAAAACAAATACTTCACTCTACATTCCAATTAAATCAAGAAAGGGAAACAAGATAAATATGTCTTTTGCTCAGAATAAACAGACTTAAAACAATCAAGAAAATCAAACAAATTAAAGTTCTTCATCACCTAACGAATCTGCAGTCTAGTCTAACTTCTTGTCCATTACCACTGATACTACTCATTTTGATCATAGAATTGGTGAATGCTTTAAAGAAGTCATCTTGAGAGCTAGCATACTTTGAAACTAGTCTTTTGGTCCTTGAATTTGTGAGTAGAGATTCATCTGAAGTGAAAAGGCTCTTGCCATTCATTAGTAGCTTGTAGTAGGCGTTGTCGAATAAAGTTGTTGTAGAATCCATTGTGGCACCTGCATTTCTGACCTTGTTATGCGCGGGGCAAATGTTCTGTAGACTGGCTGCAAATGATGCTTGTAATGTTGGATCAACATTGTGACGTTTGTCGAATTTGTGGATTCTGTTTTGGAAGGAAGAACAATGAGAGAATCCAAGAGTATGTCCTCCTGTTATCAGAAACAAAACAAATAGCAATTTTGTTACGAAAGAAATTTTGAGTCTTTATATATAGTTCAAATCGAGGGCTGTGAATACGAGTAAAAAAGAAGAGAGCTGCTTACCTGAAAGTGCAACCAAATCATCTAAAGAAAGTCCTCTTTGGGCAAAGTTTTGTTGCAGTTGAGACATGTTGAATGTTGGAGAAGGTAATTGTCGCGTTTCAGTGGCTTTAGAGACTCTTCCATCTTTTCGACCTTTTGGTACTTCCCAAGTAGGACCTCCAGACTGCAACAAATATGTCCAAAAGTGTTAATTTCATGTTAATGGAGAAGTAACATTGCCTTTTTTTGGCTGCTAGGAATATTTTTCTCATGGTAATTAATATCATGTAATTCATTTATAGAACTTACAAGAGCAACAGCATCACGAGCAGCGAGAGCAACAATATCAGCACAAGAGACAACTCCAGGACACAAATCTTCGATTTGTTTCTTAACAACATCGATGACATAGAATGCGTGCAATGAGATGTTAGGAGGTCCATCTTTCTCTGCTTTGTTGCTTCTTGTTGAGTTCAGCAGCACAGAAGCATCACAACCCTTTCATTATACATAAAAAAAAACACATACAATTAGTTACTATATAACTAGCTAGAGTTAAAAAGTAGAGATCAAAAAAGTAGAAATTTACTCTAACGAAACAATCATGGAAATGCATCCTTAAAAGTGCAGCTGGAACTGTTTTATCATTCGACATAGCATTCTTGACAACTTTGGTAATTGTTGACTCTGCATTAGGACATGTTTTGTCGTAGTAATCGGAGCTCAGTGCCTTAACTTCAGTACAAAACAATACAAAAGCAAAGAGTAAAGCAATGAAACATGTTGGTACTGCCATCATAACTAATTCTGTTTGGCAAATTAGACTATCTTTCTTTATGCTTAGTTTGGATTTAGGACTTTGTTGTGAGTCATTAGGATAACATACAATGTGCATTTAAAGGCAAGAGATTGTAATAGCGGACACAAAACTACACACAGAGTTGTTACTGAAATTATTGGTTATGTTTGTTAGTAAGTTTGGTCAGCTAAAACCATATGCAATAACGAGTTCTCGTTATCAGGTCAATGGAAGTGGAGGAAGAAGATTCACTTTTAGGTTTGAGTAGCAGTTACAAAGTGCAGTTTCTGATCAGGCAAGCAAAATGACTTAACTTTTACTTACTTTAAAAAGAGGAATATTATTGTTGCTTTAGTGGATATGGTTGAATGAATAAAGTATAGATTGATTGATGACTATTATATAGTTTTAGAGTTTTAATATTCAGAAAATACTAATATAACACATGACCATGTTTATGAGCCTATTTTGCAGGGCCATAAATAGTGGATTCTGGTCAACTACCTTTGTCACTGTCTGTTCTCGAAAAAAACTTACTCACATCTCGTGTTTATACCAACCTGATGAATGCATAACATGTGTTTTCATATTAGTTAATTAGTACACATTCTCGACTTAATTTATCACTTTAGTCATAGTAAATTTATATGGTTTGATGAAAACAACGGAGAATTTCACCCTGTGTTGATAGCCACTAGGCAAAATTTCAAAAAGGGTTGTTATTCAACATTAAGGTTTACCCCTTGATCATGTCACATCATTTCCTAGCTGTAATAAATGTATTAGTATTCGTAGTATTACTGGACAATGATATACTAATTCTTAGAAAAACCATATTATTTGTGCAGCATTGCATCATGTGTAGCAAAAACTAGAGAAATTTTAGTTTTCTTGGATCGCGATTGCTACTTGTTCTTGCAAATCTCTCACATAACCTACGGATAGTTGTTTATTTTGGCATTTTTGGTCATTTTAACTACTTTTTCTTCAGTAAACTAACACGTAAAATAGAAACTTTAAGTCCAACTTTCATGTTCTTTTTGTACTATAGTTCAAATTAAAAGGTAAGTTCTTAGATTGTCACCTCTCACTATGCTTTTTCAGGTAGGCATCGTCGATGCCTTTTGTTCACATTTTCTGTGTTGTTATCTGTGCACCAGTCCAAGAACAGACGGAAATGGAGAGAAAGGAGGTTATAAGGTTTTAAATTCTTTACCTGTTAATAAGTCTTTATTATTGTGAAGTAAAGAGCATCAAGAAAAATATTCCCATTGTGTTAATGGTCAGTTAAAACTGTTTTTCATTTCTATAGATTTTCTAGTATTGTTCGACTAGAGGCCGTTATAAACCAACTTAATGAATACATAACATACATCTTCAAATATACTGTTATCACAAATCGTAGTTAATACTACATACTCTCCCCTAAATTTATCTCCAAGTCATTGCATATTAGTATAGTTTGATGTAAACACCGGATGCCTTGTATACTTCTGCGGTTCTGCCGTACAAAAGTTGTTGCACCACAAAATTCTTCTTCATTTAAGCCCAAATTTTTACTCACACTACATTTGAATTAAATCAAGAAAGACAAAACATGCTGTTATAAACACCACACCAATTCTTCTTTGCTCAATATAGTACATCATCAATCAAGAAAATGAAACAAATTAAGGTTCACCAATACAATAATTAAATGGCCTGAGCCTGAGAAATTTGTCGTTTTAACAAGGTCATCGATCACCTAACGAATCTGCAGTCCAGTCTAACTTCTTGTCCATTACCACTGATACTACTCATCTTGATCATCGAATTGGCGAATGCTTTAAAGAAGTCATCTTGAGAGGTAGCATACTTTGAAACTAGTCTTTTGGTCCTTGAATCTGTGAGCAGAGATTCATCTGAAGAGAAAAGGCTATTGCCATTCATTAGTAGCTTGTAGTAGGCGTTGTCGAATAAAGTTGTTGTAGAATCCATTGTGGCGCCTGCATTTCTGACCTTGTTGTGCGCAGGGCAAACGTTCTGTAGACTGGCAGCAAATGATGCTTGTAGTGTTGGATCAACATTGTGACGTTTGTCGAAATTGTGGATTCTGTTTTGGAAGGAAGAACAATGAGAGAATCCAAGTGTGTGCCCTCCTGTTAGCAGAAACAAAAAGCAATAACTTTGTTACCAAAGAAAATCTTGAGTCTCTCGTTTCTATATTTAGAAACAGTTTAACTTTAAACCCTCGTTTTTCCCTTAATGAGATAATTTATAGCTACACAAGTTGACTTGTTTTTAGGCCACAATTTCCAAAGTTATATTTTCCTTTCTTGAGCTCCGTATCCATTCAAATTGCATCACATGTAATGGGACAGATGGAGTATATCTTTAAATTTCTGAATTTGATATGTTCAACCATTAAGATTCTTAGTACTGAAATATCAAGTTCAGAATCAATGCCTAAAGGCTGCATCTGCCTCGGGTTAGAAGAGAGGAGGATCTATGAGTTTAAATCAGTAGGATAGTGTTAAGACACTACTACTTTACGACACTGAACACAACATTTGTGTTTCTATGGATATACGTGTATCGAAAGCTGTAAATACAGTAATAGAACAAGAGAGTTGCTTACCTGAAAGTGCAACCAAATCATCCAAAGAAAGGCCTCTTTGGCCAAAGTTTTGTTGGAGCTGAGAAATGTTGAACGTAGGAGAAGGTAGTTGTCGCGTTTCAATGGCTTTAGAGATTCTTCCATCTTTTCTACCTTTTGGCACTTCCCAACTAGGACCTCCAGACTAACACAACATGTCACAAAAAAGTATAACAATTTCACATTTGGTATATTTTTTATGGTAATATCATGTTTGTTTTATTCAATAGTGAGTAGAACTTACAAGAGCAACAGCATCACGAGCAGCGAGAGCAACAATATCAGCACAAGAGACAACTCCAGGACACAAGTCCTCGATTTGTTTCTTAACAACATCGATGACATAGAATGCGTGCAATGAGATGTTAGGAGGTCCATCTTTCTCTGCTTTGTTGCTTCTTGTTGAGTTCAGCAGTACAGAAGCATCACAACCCTTTCATTATACATAAAAAAAGACATACAATTAGTTACTATATAACTAGCAAGAGTCAAAATGTAGAGATCAAAGAAGTAGAAATTTACTCTAACGAAACAATCATGAAAATGCATCCTTAAAAGCGCGGCTGGAACTGTTTTGTCATTCAACATAGCATTCTTGACAACTTTGGTGATCATTGACTCTGCGTTAGGGCATGTTTGGTCGTAGTAATCGGAGCTCAGTGCCTTCACTGCAGTGGAAAACAATGCAAAAGCAAAGAGTAAAGCTATAAAACATGTTGGTAATGCCATCATAACTAATTCTGTTTGCCAAATTAGGCTATGTTTGTTTATGCTTAAATTGGATTTATGACTTTGTTGTGAGTCATTAGGATCACATACAATGTGTATTTAAAGGGAAGACTACAGAGGAAGTTGTTACTGAAATTATTGGTTATGTTTGTTAGCAAGTTTGGTCAGCTAAAACCATATGGATTAGGAGCAGTTTAACATTCTTAATTTAATTTCTTCTTTGTGAAGCACATTCATTTTGTTTAACCTCAAGTCATCCCAATTCTATTTGTTTTTTACTGATTTTAGTTGCCATTTAGAGACTAAGGGGATGTTAACAATGGCGTAGCTACATTGACCGAAAGGTGGTCATTTGAACACCCTTTATTGAAAAATTATCCAGTGCATATAGGATATAATAATAATGTGTATACAGGTCAAAATCAACTTTCTAGAGATACATACTAAAGTTTTGTACACCCTTAGCAATTTTTTAGCTTCACCATTAGTGGATGTTTGGTGAGGAGATAAGTAATATATTGGAATTACCTCCAACCCTAATGTTGTGGGTTTGAGTCACCAAAGAAGCAAAAAAAGTAAGAGCTCCTATGGAGAGTTAGAAAAAAAAAAAGGGGGGAGGGGGGGAGGGTGTATTTTAGTATAATATTTATGCCAGTTTACATTAATATCAATAACCAAACATGGGATAAATGTAATCCTAAATTTTATACCGGAGTTAGTATCCTAATTAATCCGTTAACCAAACGACCCCTTAGAGTTGACCCTCAAGTTTTTAACAACCCTAGGCTAGAGAATGTGGTTGATCACCATAAGCAACAATTGTCCAATTATTATACCAAAAAGATTATATAAAAATAATTTAGAATTTTAAGTTGTTAGTAGGTAGGAAAATATTATGTATGCATGCAGTGGCTTTTGATTTAAGCTTCACTTTTAGGTTTGACTAGCTAGTTGCTAAAAGTGCAGTTTATGAGGCAAAAAAAATGACCAACCTTTTCACTTACTTTAAAAAAAGGAATGTTATTGTTGCATTGGTGGTTATTGGGTTAGGTTTGAACTAATAAAGTATACATTGATTGATGAATTGACCATTTTTTAGGAGCATATCAAAGGCATAATATAGAAATATACACTCAAATTTGGCCTCAGCTGATTAAGAACTTTAATTTTGAGAGTGCACATCGTCTAGACACCTCAACTTGGTTTTTAACTGACAATTAAACACTCCAACTTTTCTCCATTGTGTCTCGTGGACATGTAATGGTTACATGATACATAAAGTTTGGAGGTGTCTAGATTCATAATCATTTTGTAAGTTGGAGTTTCAACTGACACTGTGAAAACGAATTAAGACATCTAGATGTACATATTCGAAATTAGATCAGTGTTATATTAATTTAACAGTTGAAGTCAAGTTTGAATGTGTGTTTATGTATTATTCCAGGAAAATTTTACTGTTTTAGCTCATCATCACCAATTCCCAAAGTAGAAAAGGAGAAAAAAAACCTTCACTTCTTTCAACAACAATTCTTTTTTGCTACAAAGCAAAAATGTTTGTACTTAAAATGATAAACAAGATCATATATATATATATTGTATACAAGATGTATATAACATGAAAATAGTCATATTACAAAGGTACAAAATATATAGAGCAAATTGAAAATTATTGATGTAGCTTAGACAAACTTGTCTTATTCATCCTTTCATATAGTAAAAAAATACAATTTTTTGAACTACCCCTACTTGCACCAATAATTGATTTCTATTTTTTTGGACTATAGTTCATGTGCTTACTTTACCAACAACTCCTCAATAGTCAAACCACTCCAGAATTAATCTTCAATAAGTGATTTTTTTTGGGGAGGGCTACTTTATGTAAAAAGTAAGCACGCCGCTACCCTATAAACTCAAGACCTCTGATTAAAACCGTATTCTTTGAACAATTTTTTTTGTATAATCAGAATTGAGTTTGGCTTGAAAATGTTTGGCCAAATTTCCAACCAGATGGAACAATATTTAAGAATGTTTTTGTGACACCATCACTAGTAGTGACCTTAAATGATATTGATTGACCATCAAGATATGCATTGGATTGCCAACTTGCTCCCCAATTTCTTGACATAGTTAGCCAATTTGTGTTTGAGCCTTTGATTTGAACTGATTGAACAGATCCTGCCCCTGCTACATTGCTTACTAATAGTAGTTCAAAATAGTCTCTTCCATTTATTGTGAACCTAACTCCACCATGCTTCTTGCAAGGTACCCTGCTCCACAAAAAAAAAATATCAATTGCTCGAGATCGTATAAGGAGACAACAACTTATTTCATCGATGATCATTCTAACATATCCTTGGAGGATGTATCTGACTCTGATACCATGTAATGAAAATAAACTTCAAGCTTAATTTAATCTCAAAGTGTAGCTCATGAAATTAATTACATAGTATTGTCTAAGACCATATGAGAAGATAACAATAATTCACTTAATCAATGTGCAAGATTCTAACATTGCCTTTATAAATTTAGTATTAGTTGTCCGAAATCATGATAACAAGTTTAGCAACAACTCAATCAATCAATGAGGGACATTGGTACACCCTCTGAATGGCGGAAAATATAACATGGATGCCAATATTGACAGAAGTGGATCAAAAATTTGAACTTTTTGAGTTTTGGATTATAGCACATGACGTCAATCAATCAACAAGAATCTTGATTAAAGCAATTCACTCAATCAATATAGGACATTGTAACACCCCTTAGAGGAAGGACAATATAACATGAAGGCTTAACATTGGGAAATCAAGAAACAATGATGACTGTGACTCTGACTATGACTCTGACTATGACTCTGATACCATGTACAATAATGATTCTGACTCTAATACCATGTACAATGATGACTTTGACCCTGACTCTAATACCATGTCCCAAAAATGTACCTCGGACTCATTTAGTCTCAAAATTTAGTTTGTTAAGTCAAAAATTGTCTGAGACCATACGAGGAGACGACAACTCATTCCCTACTCGAACTTTTAGTATCAATTGCCAAAAACATTGAAGAATGATGACTTACCTTTTGTAGAGAACAGGAACAATGCCACCTTTGTAAATGCCAATTTTTTCCCAAGCAGGTTGAGCCATATCAAAATGTGGACGTGGAGGGTTGCACCATCCTCCATTGTTACTAGGAAGATTGTAATTTGGTGGACAAAAATTTGTAGATGTAATTGTAACAGATACTCCCTTTTTGCACCATTGAGGATCTGCTTTGTAATCACAAATGATTTTGTAGCATTGACCACATGATCCTCCATCATTGAACAATGCTGTGCTCAATGCTGCTGTCCTAGTACCATATCCTGTTGAATACAAATTGCCATATCCACAAGCACCTCCTGTTTTTTTCCAAGCCAAAAAAGAAAAAAATCGATCATTTGTCGCCTGTTTGGTCAAGCTTCTGAATAGTCAAAAGTGTGTACTTTTTAAAGTTGATAGGGTTGACCAAATTTTAAGTATGTGTCCAAGCTTTCGAGTAGCCAAAAGTGCTTATGTTTGAAAGTTGCGATGTTTGATCAAGCTTTTGAGAAGTCAAAAGTGCTTCTGTTTGAAAGTTGCAATGTTTGGTCACAGCTTTTGAGAAGTCAAAAGTGCTTATGTTTGAAAGTTGTGATGTTTGATCAAGCTTTTTGAGAAGTAAAAAATGCTTATGTTTAAAAGTTGCGATGTTTGGTCAAAGCTTTTGGAAAGTCAAAAGTGCTTGTGTTTGAAAGTTTGCGAGGTTTGATCAAGCTTTTGAGAAGTAAAAAATACTTATGTTTGAAAGTTGTGAAGTTTGATCAAGCTTTTGATAAGTCAAAATTACTTACGTTTGAAAGTTGGTGTCCAGACAAATATTTAGGAAAAAAAAATAAGTGTTTGAGGAATAATAGAAATTGAAAAAAAAGTAAATTTTCCTCATTACTCATTAGCACTTTTGAGACGATGGTAAAGCACAAATTACTACTTCAATATTGACTATATGAAGTGTTTTTTTCAAATAAATTAGCCTAACACAAATTACTTCTCTTGAAAATTACTTTTTCGATAAACACTTCTAACAATACGAACCATTAGTAGGAAGTTCATAAATGTTGTCCCTTACATGTAATGTAAGTAGTGCATATATATATCTAGAGGTGCACGTAATATTTTTAAATTTTGAATTTGTTTCTCGATACGTACCCATTGTGCCAGAAGCATCAGCTCCACCATAAAATGTGGCATGAGCACTTGTCCATCCAGAATCTGCTGAGAAACCATTTGCACTTACGAAAAATGTACACAAACCAATTATAAATCCCAATGCTAAATTGACATTATTGGCCATTTTAATTTCTTAGTGGAAAATTAAGAAATTATGTTGAAACTTTGATGAATTCTACAATATTGACATAGCCAAGAAAAGTAATGGCTAGTACTTAAATAGATGTACTATTTATATTAAATACAACCACCCTACATGTGATCATTGCAACTAGGTGTGAAAAAATAATAATAATGAAAACTATATATTATAAAATTGAATTATCTCTGGAGAAAACTGAAACTCAATAATTATTCTCACGTTCTATCACCTCTTAAACTTGTTAGGCCACATGGGAATGCATCAATTACCATTTCAATTTGGACATTTGTCATATTTTTCTAATTTTTTTTTTCTTGGTTCTTTTGTGAAATTATGGTAACACATTTGGTGTGATCTATAAGGTATTATAATTTTACGGATAAAATGTAAGACTATTTTATTTTGTATTTAGTTGGAGGTATTAACATTTTAAGATTATTTATCTCATCATTTATATCTTAGTAATATGATAAGTTATTCCATATACATGATGAAGTAATTTATCTTGAAATAATTAATTTTGAAATAACTTGTTCCTAACCAAACTATCTCGATATATTGTATTAACAAGTAGGGAATATTTATTTTCTGTCAATATTGTGATGCTACCTCACATGGCTTTTGTTTGTGTCCCATCATTGTGATCATCTGTAAATGCA